TATGAATGTACAATTTTAAATCATATATATCGGTCGCCTATCATAGAATTTGGTTTTATAAAGTCATACGTCACAGGTATTGCTCTGACTAACATTTTAAGTAAAACACTCAAACCTCTGTATCGGCAGAGCTCAGAAACAAATGTATTTATGATAAAATATCAGAAGTCCATTTATAGGTTTCGTCTCGACGTTTGTTTGTGTCTGGTGGTGCAATAACTGAAAGAAAAAATAAATCTCCAAATTTGAATCCCTATATTGCTCCCTTGTGATTCAGCGGTACGACTGGTGACTTATAACGCCAAAAATCAGATTTCAATACCCGCGATTAGGAGAGGAGCACAGCTGGCTCTTTGTGTAGCTTTATGTTCAACAAGATTTTAAGCACAAGTTTTATACCTTGAATATAAAGAAGTAAACTCTTTTTTTTTCGGATATGATTTTAGAAGTGTAAAACAATGGTCTTTGAAGAAAAGGTTGAGTTACTACTAGATATGTGCTTTTCCGTAGGTGTGGATATTTTACTGCCAGTATGTATTTATGGGATTAATACCACGGTTGTTGGCAAGAACAGATCAAATGTTGTAAACGTTCTTTGTTAGGCAATTTTAAGTCATAGCACAACACCAAAGTTAAATACAATTTAAAATAGCACTTGTGCAATACATATATACAGTTCAAAAGAGTAGAACGCTAAAATACTTACACAATACGTAATTCATTAAAACAGGAACAAGCCCTATAATGACTCTACTCTGAAGAAAGAACACCGAAACATGTAGTCATTTTAGAGCTGGTTCCTGTTTCAATAAATTATCTATTATTTAATTATCTTAGCGTTGTACCCCTTTTAACTGTATATATGTAGCACCAACGTTTTCTTAGTAATACCAGAGCACTGAGACAGACAGCATCTTCTGAAAGACTCACTGTATGCAATCAGCAGGTTGACGTTGATTTTTTTCCACTGTATTCTCATGTGCTCGTCTAATTGACACGGTCCTTAATGTGTATCAAGATTTCAGCTCTATAATAAGAGGTTCGATAATCTCTCTGAGAGTGTAGCATTCACATTAGAAAAAACCTGCACAGTTGATGGTCATAACAAAAATAGATTATCTCAAAACCGGGTAGGAATAATTACTGCCAAAGAAATTGAAAGAATTATTAGATCAAGATAAGCAATTCTTAAAAACGGAAATTAAGCTTATGGGGAAAACTGGTAATGTCTAGTTAGGGCTTACTTGCTGTCAAACATAAAGGTTCGTTAAGGAGTATAAATGACATAATACTTGTAGTAGAATTTCCGCATACGTGTGCATGTAAATCTTAACACTAACCTGAAAAGCTTTGAATTATTAATGTGGCTAAATGTAACAAGGTAACACAGAAATGAAACTATTCCTGTCTTGCAATGCCATGCGCTCTTTCATTATTTTAAATAGCTTATAGTTTATAATACCATTTCAGTGAAAAACGGAATGTTTGATAGATAGACAACTTGTTCATTCTCCTTTCCAATCTGAATAGAATCACGACATCATTTATGAGAATTCTTATAACTTAACTAATCTTTATTGATATTTTTTACGGGTAAATGCTGTTAAATAAGGTGCTTACAACAACTAATTATTGAAACAGTACTTATACTTCGTCGATTGCAATTACAATAATATTATTTTTAAATCGCAAGGAATAACGCTGTCAAAACTGCATATAAACCATCTTAACCTCTCTCTCCGCCTATTGGAAACTAATGTAGAGTTTCTTGATAATGAATAAACCTGATTTTTTAATTTCTTCGTTACCTTTTGGTCTTATTTTTAATATGCTTAGAAAACACTTGCAATTTGATTTGATTTTCTTTGTTGAATTTCGCGCAAGGCTACTCAGGGCTACCTGCGTTAACCGTCCCTAATTTTGAAGTGATGGACGAGGAGAGAGGTAGCTAATCAACACCATCCACCGTCAACACTCGGGCTACTCTTTACCAACAAATAGTGGGATTGAACGTCCTATTATAATGCCCGCACGACTGAAAGAGCGAGAAGGTTTGGTGACGGGTTTCGATCCCGCGGCCAGCAGATTGTGAGTCGGGCGCCTTAACCATCGTAACATGTCAAGCCCCAATTTCATTTTGATGTAAAAATTTAGATGCAAAACATCTTTAGGTTACAAATCCCAGTCAGCTAGTTTATATTTGTTAAAATTACCTTTCGTGTTCAACAGAAATCAGTGAAAATAGCCAGCAAACCATACAATACTATGTCATTAATATGATAGATTATAAATAGAGCTAATTATAAGAACGTAGAATCTGTCAAGTGTTTTAACGATATAAGAAACAGCTTGTTTTGATAGGAAAAGTTTGTTTTACTAACATGAAAACAAACTTTCAACCAATAGCAGCGGCCGTGGTTGGGTGACCGTTGCAGTTTAAAAATACAGGGCAATATCAAATTACAGCAATATGTGAACTTAATCATTAATAGGATGTGTTATATAGGAAATAAGTAAATAACGGTATTTTTGGCAAAAAGAGTTGTGACATAGGTATATGTAATAAAGATAGGAGGTCACTCATGGATACTTATTTAATGTTAATTTAACATTCTTATCAATATGGCATCGGCTGTTTTTCGTCCTTCAAGATGTTCTTTCAGTCTGAAGAGAACCTGATTTCAAGAGACCAAAAACATACTGATTAAAAACGAGAACATAAAAATAACATTAAATAAGTATTTAGAAACTTCTCTCTAGCTTTATTAACATATTTAGTCATTTGAACTTGTAAAGCTGCTTCTTATATCGCTAAATTAGTCAGTAAAATCCTCAACCGACACTACTGTCGAGTTTTTATTTGTACGAAAATCACGAAATAATCTAATTCAAATCTAATAGAGTTAAGATTAAATTAAATTCCAAATACACTTATACATATATACCATAGGAAAATATATTGTTCAGAAAATAAAAGATTACTACTGTATCTGAATACCACACTCATTACATACAGTTTTTGTTATACTAACTCAAAGAATTAATACACGCCATACGTTTCATGGGAGGAGTATTTTATGCAATTTTTTTAACTTGGGCTTATGATCTATATTTTTATTGTGATTAAGAAATAGCTATTTAGACTTTCTGTTGAAAAATAAGTATTTATCTGGATTTATGATTTAATCTGTCACTAAACACTACTATAAGAGATAAATTATTGTGTTTTAAACATAATTAGAATGTCAATGTTACTGAGTGTAGAATTAACCACCCAGTAATAATTCAGTACTTCTCACAGCCTATTAAAAGAGCTGGCCTTTGTTATTGTTTTATTCACATAAACAAAGCATAATTTTTTTATTAATTATACTTGTCATAAGACACTAGTACTAGTAAGTCTTTGTTGTTGTTTTATTCACATAAACAAAGCATAATTTATTATTAATTATACTTGTCATGATACACTAGTATTAGTAAGTCTTTGTTGTTATTTTATTCACATAAACAAAGTACAATTTGGTATTAATTATACTTGTCATGATACACTAGTTGTTGTTTTATTCACATAAACAAAGCACAATTGTTATTAATTATACTTGTCATGATACACTAGTATTAGTAAGTCTTTGTTGTTATTTTATTCACATAAACAAAGCACAATTGTTATTAATTATACTTGTCATGAAACACTAGTATTAGTAATAAGTAGGCATACAACGATTTATGAGCATAAGGAAGAATTTTATTGATGGTGGAAGATACTACATGTTTCGACATAACATTGGTGTATCTGTAGAATATAGATCAATGTTCTGTCAAACATGTAGTATGTTCCACCATCAATAAAATTATTCCTTATGCTCATAAATCGTTGTATGCCTACCTATTATTATAGTAGCTTAATGTGCTTCCTTACTAAAGTACCCTAGTATTAGGTATTTAACACTGCATTATTTATCTATATGGCGAAATGATGTGGTTGGAGTACTGTTATTACACACTCTTTTAATTCTTGAAAATCCTTAAGCCTTAAGGGAGTAGATAACAACTGTGAGAGCGATGTTTTAAATTGTTCGAAAACATTAAAAAAATTCAGGAAACAATTGCTACGAGTGTATCTTACCTAACATAGCGTTATTTTTATTGTACATTTCATACTCTAAAATGACATATCCCTAAAACTTGATTGAAAACATTAAATTTCACGTTTAGTATTTTCCCAATATTTTGAGAACACATAAATGCATCATACGTCTTTCTTGGCCTGGAAGTTACGGCATTCTATTCACAATTTACGGTTGAAGTACGCCGCAAATCCCGTCACCGAACATGCTCGCCCTTGCAACCGTTGAGCGTTTATAAGATGATATAATATAATGGTCAATCGCATTATTCGTTGGCCTATCGTTTCAAAATTAGGGATGATTATTGCAAATAGCCCTCGAATAGCTTTGCGCAAAATTCAATAAATAAAATAAACGAATTTTCTTGTGTAGAATTTACAGTTGAAAGTCATTTAAAGTACTTTTTGATTGCGTTATAATGTTAAAATAATATCGAATAAATAAAAATGACAAGAACGAAACTCGCCCTTATAAAACGGTTTTATGCTTTTTCTCGTGAGTCAGCGGTAAGTGTCAGGACTTGCAATGCTAAAATATGGAGTTCGATTACCTGCGGTGAACAGAGCATAAATGATCCATTCTGTAGATTTGCACTACGAAACAAATCAGTAGCATTTTTTTCAATGATTTGTTAAGGGCTGTAATTTCGATATCCTTCATTTATATTCAGTTATAATCACTAAATTATATCATTTTTGTATTACGGTATATATATATTTATATACTTATTTGGTTTCTCACCAACAAAATTTTCTGACAGATTTTCAACACGACATATAATTGAAATTACACCAAATATACCATGACTAAATATAGGGAATTAGGATAAAAAAAATACTTAGTAAAATAAAATTTTTATTTAATTAAACACAGGAAATTTTGTTTGAGTGAAGAAACACCCTGTGATGTTGAAACAATGGTTTCTAAAGTTGCGAAAGCAGAAAGTGAATCAACTAAAGGAGAATTCCCCGTATCTTTCAACTCTCTCTCTACAATCTTGCATTCTCCGGATCTACGTAGACCTTCATCACCTTGGCAACTAAATTGTTCTACAAAGACTAAGTTGACAACGAAATCATGCATTCAAAGTAAGAACTTATCAATTTTTAGTATCCAAAATCAGTGTTTTCAATTTAATAAAATTTCAAAGACAAATTTATTGCAAAGTCACTTTCTTATATGGCAAACTTATGATATATCGTTTCTCTTGACTTTCTAGAAATTTCATGAAACTTTTACTAGACTCTACAGTTTTCACCTTTAATCTATAGTCTCCTTTAAAAAATTTTATTATTTCGTTCTTACGAGAGGTTGAAAAATAAAACCTTCACCAAATCATTTTAAACAAATCTTTATAAATTTTGTAATGAATACCAGATTTTTAATAACTTTAATTTACTGAAATTTAAAAGGTGCCCGCAAGATTATCATTTAATACTTAATAGATACACTTTAAATGAAATCTATTTCGGATGTGGTTTCTTTGAATACACGATTTTAGGATGAGTAATAAGCGTGAATTTTCTGAACAAATTATCAGAAGCAAACAGTTTGAACAAACAACTGATTAAGTGAATATCATCGAAGTCTAACTTCACTGCCATTATTCCGTTCTAACTTGTTCTCAAGACATTAAAGAAGTTTCCAATTAATATGATTTTTTAAAGCAAGTCACTATTTATTATTCCTGCAATAAAACTCCGCATGTTTTAGCCAATCATTTTGTATATTTAAAGAAAGAACAGGAAACAGGACTCACTCTCACAAAACCAGTAAAGGGGGAAGAACTCCCCTGATTTTTAGACAATCATTTCATATGTTTAATGGAAAGGGTAGGAAAACAGGATTCACTCTCACAAGACCAATAAAGGGGGAAGAACTTCCCTGATTTTTAGACAATCATTTCATATGTTTAATGGAAAGGGTAGGAAAACATGACTCACTTTTGCAAGAGCAGAAGCAGAAAAATTGTTCCTCTGTAAAAATATTTGTTTATGTAAATTTTCATAATTACATCGGACCCATGAATCCCTAGGTCATGCGAGGATTTATTTGTTAAATTTGTAAATTAGAAAAAAAAACTAACTGCCAGGCCACAATAGAATTCAAAAACGTTATAAATTGGGAATAGTGAATAGAAAATTGTTGTAATTGTTATACCAGAATATTTTTTTTTGTTTTTCATTATCTTTTTATATATTCATATTACAGTAAATCCACACTTTTCTCAGACGATCTTTTATGTAAAAGATGTAGTTTCAACGAAGCTAGTTTTTATTCCCTTTCTTTTACACACATACACACTTGCATATCGTTTAGGAGCTTTTTCTGACACATCATCCTCATATTATAAAAATTTTTTGTTTGTTTCAATAGGAAGCAAGAAACGAGCGACCTCTGTGGAATCAGGCCACACTAACCAAACAAAAGTGGTAAATTCAGTTCTCAGGAAAATGGAAAGTGCTGACTCAGTTCCTCGTCTTCGTAACAGCAAAAGCAAAACAGGCGCTCTGTTCAGAACCGCTAAGGTAAGAACTGTAACATAATTGAACGTGTTAGACTTTGGTAAGTACTGTAAAATAACTGAACGTGTTAGATTTTGGTAAGTATTGTAACATAACTGAACGTTTTAGATTTTGGTAAGTACTATAGAATAACTAAACGTTTAAGATTTTGGTAAGTACTGTGACATAACTGAACGTTTTAGATTTCGATAAGTCCTATAAAATAACTGAACGTTTTAGATTTTGGAAAGTACTAGAAAATAACTAAACGTTTTAAGTTTTAGTAAGTATTGTAACATAACTGAGCGTGTTATATTTTTTGTAAGTATTGTAACATAACTGAACGTGTTAGATTTTGGTAAGTACTGTAACAACTGAACCGGTTAGATTTTTGTAAGTATTGTAACGTAACTGAACGTGTTAGATTTTGGTAAGTACTGTAGCATAACTGAACGTGTTAGATTTTGGTAAGTACTGTAACATAACTGTGCGTGTTAGATTTTTGTAAGTATTGTAACATAACTGAACGTGTTAGATTTTGGTAAGTACTGTAGCATAACTGAACGTGTTAGATTTTGGTAAGTACTGTAGCATAACTGAACGTTTTAGATTTTGTTCTCTTTAGGTATTCGAGTCACAAGATACCTCGAGTGGCAACCTCATTCTCATGGTGTACTTTAGCTATAAAAAATTATATAGTATATTCTTGTTATACTGTTATATTTTGATGCCAAGTAACCTTGCTTTTTTAGCATATCACGGTCACGAGTAATAATTAATTACATTATTGTAATCCTAGTATATCTTGTTCATAAACAACTCTAGGTTACATTCTTGTTATTTTAGAATATCTTGACTATAAACAACTCTAGGTTACATTCTCGTTATTTTAGCATATCTTGATTATAAACAACTCTAGGTTGCATTATCTTCCTTATGAAATTAGTTGGTCATAACTATCTCTCAGTTACGTTCTTGTTCGTTTAGCATACCTTGGTTAATATTAACCCTATAGGTTACAAACGTCCTCAACTCTAGATTAGGTTCTCGTCCTTCTAGCATATCTTAGACACAAGCACAGTATGATTAGTTTACTTTCTCAATACACATATTGCTAACAAATAACCCTTAGTTAAGTTCTTATGGTAAAACTTGAAGTTAAGAACAAAGAATGTAACAACAACTGCTACATAGCACTCTGTATATCAACATTCATACAACAACTGCTACATAACACTTTGTATATCAACATTCATGCAACAACTGCTACATAACACTT